AGATCTCATATACAGATGATATTGGCCCAAGACTACCATACCCTAGATCTCATATACAGATGATATTGCCCGTACACTACCATACCCCAGATCTCATTTACAGATGATATTGGCCCATACACTACCATACCCTAGATCTCATATACAGATGATATTGCCCATTCACTACCATACTCTAGATCTCATATACAGATGATATTGGCCCATACACTACCATACCCCAGATCTCATATACAGATGATATTGCCCATACACTACCATACCCCAGATCTCATATACAGATGATATTGCCCATACACTACCATACCCCTAATCTCATATACAGATGATATCGCCGAGATACTGCCTTACCTCAGATCTCATATACAGATGATATTGCCGAGATACTGCCATACCCCAGATCTCATATACAGATGATATTGGCCAATAAGACACTCTACATTTAGTGAAAGGATTTTGTGGTAATGTTGCTAGTATTAAACTTTTCGTTCAACAGGGAACTTGTTGGAGCAAAACAGTCGGTGTCCGGACTATTACAAAAATATGCAAGGACTTCAACTGGTAGTGATGGAATTAAAGTTTACAACTCAAGGAGGACACTTAAATCCTAATATCTCTGTTATTAACAAAGCACCTTGTCTGGTTTCCGTAATGGTTAAATGCCGAGTGATGGACAGTATTTTTAATGAACAAAAAAGCACACAGACACAGCAAGTATGGTGATTAACAAAATTATTTAAAGTTTGTATGTAATAAATATTAAACTTATACTGTAGGTTATTGAAGTTTTGGAAAAAGTCCCTATATATACATGTTTACATTATAACTACCATTATTGTCATGTATAAATATAAGGAATAAATTACTTGAAAGACACCTTTAGTCTACACAGATTATTTAATGCCTTAAAGTACCTGTGAAATGCCACCCACATGATTCCCATTTTAAATCTGTGTCCCACTAAAATGGACAGTTATTGCTTTTGTTGTTGAAAATGATTACCCATATCCAAGTGAATTTCTTGTGATGTTTCCAGATTTTTGACTCGCCGAGGATAAAAGTGCGGCAAAGATGCCAAAATATGAGAGGAAGCCATACTCTTGAGCCGTACTTTTATAACACTGTCATTCAACACATTTTTAAGCGTTTTTTTTGAGAGATTTTTAGAGGTTGTTTTCATAACAAACATTTATGATGGTTAAACAGTGTGTTGTGGGCGGGTGGTGTGATGCGTATGGCCATAGTGTAAGTATTCATACGTTTCCAACCGATCCGAAGGTGCAGCAGTGGAAAGCTGAGAAAAGGTTGAGATGGACCTTCTCCTTACACCATTTTCGTAGGCTAAAAATTTCTGAATTGTTCGGTGATTGGTGTTGAATGTCAAATTCACACCTCCGTTACTTTTCCTTGCAGCTTGATCTGCTTAATAATTTATGGAATAAGAATCCAGGCTTGAGCTGTCAATGTGTTTCATCTAAATAAATTTGTAATATGTCATAATTATGACAATCATGCTAATTGAATCTACTCTGAATTTGTTAGCATATGTTTACACATATTTGTCGCTCTCAATTATCTTTATTGTCCAATCAAATGCCGCCATTCACCAACACGCTCACCCATTTCAACAAAATTCATTTCCATGCAGCTGTCGTTTATTTATTAGCTGCAATTTGTCGTTTTTTTTTAAAATTATTTCTCTATTTTTTTTCTCTATTTTGTCACTGTAATAGTTAAATGTTTAGAATTTCACAATGTGTTCTCTTTTTATTTTAATTTTAAATGAAATAAAACAGTGTAGTGACATGCCTAGTAATGCTAAATAATGAGACAATTCAGGCGTCAAATTTGATTTTGACAAACTTGGTGATGATCTCCATAGGCATAAAAATTTCCGTGGAAACAGAAGTCGCCACTGAGTGACTACCATATAAGTAATTGTGTAGTCCACACCAACCCTGTTGTAGTTCTTTCTAACTTTTTACCAACTGGAATGTTGTCCAGTGACAGTGTACAAACGTACGCCAGAAGACATATTTCGCATTTAACTCGACCCTATACGACAAACTTGATATTATGTATTCATTATGGTCCCTTCTTCCCTGACGAACGAGTACATGAGTGGCAATTTAGTCAAAGATGAGAAAACTGTACAAGAAATGTGCCTTTATATACACATATCGGCAATGCAAGCTGCCCAGCAAGAAGTTCTTCTTCTTGCGTCACAAGGGGAATTTCTGTATGCAAATGAGAAGCTAATATGGAGCCTTGTTTTAAAATACACAAGAATAAAGTTGCCATAGACTGTGTTTGAAACACATTTTTGTCACTTCAAAAAAATAGTTTATGCTTAGAAACATAGAAACTAATAACTATTGATGTACCAATGAATGATTTTAGGTGAGAAAATAGCAGCCATTTCACAGGCACTTTAAGGCTGTCGTGAAATCAACATTTGGGTTTTTAAACAGAGCTATGTGACCATGATGATATCACTATATCATAGTTACTGGCTGGTAGAATCATTTCTGTTATTTACATGTAGTTTACTTTTTGTATTTTTTAACATATCCCACTTTTCCATTTTCACATCAAGTGTGATTGGGCATTTCTGTATCCAAATATTAAATCAGTTTGGCTCTCATTACAACCATATTTATGATTCATGCCATGTGCAAACAGATTTTGAACTGTGATACTACCTATAGAAGTGGCCTGTGTTTGATTAATTAATATTGTAAGTTACTCATTCTTAGATGTGTATGGTAAGAAGCAGTATATTATCCTTTTCACCGCCAGATTCTCTTGCCCATGTTTTTCTAAAATATTTTCTTATATTTTTCATTTTTTCTCAAAATAAACCCTAATTTCGGAGCCAACAGACAAAATTTGAGTCAATTTTCATTTTTCTATCAAACTTCTGATGGAAAGTGCAGACTATAAACAGAACTATTTTGTGAATTTGGGATCAAAGTGCGTGCTGGTTTTGAAAAAGATATGCCGGTACTCTATTAATGGATCTTCACATCGTAGCTTTTCGAATGTAGGTGTATTTTATAACAGCTTTCATGTGGTAACTCTCAGTTATGGAGGTTTTCAGATGCTGCGTAGTAAATAAGGTTGTCATTAATATTTTTAAACGCAAATTTAAATTTTGAATAAAATTGGGAAAATGTTTATAAAATATATCGGGGTGTTGTACATGTATTGCCAAACTCATCAAATCAGTGAAATGCAACAGGACAGACAGACAGACAATCTCAAAGTACATGTTTGGATTCAAATTTAACACGAGTATTTTGAGTTTGATTTCTGGTATGTGGCGAGGTCCACTATACACTTAGGACTGTAAATTATGCCTTCTTATCATCAAGTGCATATTTCCACATACTGTAAAATGACGAATTTTCACTGAGTTTAAATTTCACTGATTTACCATTACAGGCATATTCAGTGGGATTTAAATTCACAGCTTTATCATTTAGATAATGTGTTCTATACTGAATTTTACATATTTTAATTTAGCACATTTTCCAGTCAGCGAAATAAACAAACTTGAAACCCAGTGAATAATTAACCCTTTTACAGTAATTGGTATTTTGACATTTTTTTTGTTTGTTATTTAGACATGTTTTATACAAAACTAATAATACAATAACTAGCAGTAGAAATGTAACAAAAGTGGTTGCTATGAGTAACACAAGTACAGTCAAGTATTATAATCAGTGTAATTTATTACATATACATGGGGACTTATGCAATGGGGTATGCTGAACCAATGTATACAACATCCTGGTCATAAGTTTGTACATTTGTATTATAGCCAGCCATCTCAAATTTACACACACTGTTTGGATATTCTTTGAAACAAATGGTAAATATTCCAAGTTCAAATTCAGGACTTCTGCCGATCCACATGGAGCTGATTTCTTTCATATGACCTTGCCACTTGAATTGGATACTCATAATGTCGGGCTGCACGGGAGAAAAAAAATTGTAAATCAGAAAACAAATAATGCCCAGCTTGCAATAACCATGAAACTATTTGAAAAGCAATTTGATATATCATTCTAATTATAAATCACGCAACTACCGGTAGTCTTGTGATTGGTTCTTGATAACTAGTCTTGTGATTGGTTCTTGATAACTAGTCTTGTGATTGGTTCTTGATAACTAGTCTTGTGATTGGTTCTTGATAACTAGTCTTGTGATTGGTTCTTGATAACTAGTCTTGTGATTGGTTCTTGAAAACTAGTCTTGTGATTGGTTCTTGATAACAAGTCTTGTGATTGGTTCTTGATAACTAGTCTTGTGATTGGTTCTTGATAACTAGTCTTGTGATTGGTTCTTGATAAATTCTGATTAGGCCATGCCACAACTGTGCTGAACTTAACCATTTGTTTGTTTCATTTTGTGTAGTTATTTTGATTTATTCTATCAATAACGGAAAAATAAAGGCAAGTCTCTGGCAAATTTGATAGAGCAACTAATATTAAACTGGTATTTTATGTAACCTTTTGACGTTCTTTTAGTCAGTTTTTTCCAGTTTAATAATTATGGGTCCACCATCCCTTGTCTCATTCTTACACTAAATACCAGCTGATATTACTAGTTGTACACCAGTTGTACAATTGATTATAGTTCCTAGGCTTCCTGTGGTCTACCTAGCTAAAGTAAAATTAACATTGCACACCTTGTGTTGCTAGAATTTTTAGAAGTCAATCTAGCTAGAATAAAAGTGACATTGTAACCCTTATGTTGTTGGATAATTGTGTGAGGTAGTAGTCAACCTTGCTAGAGTAAAATTAACATTGTAAACCTTGTGTTGTTGGATCATTGTTGAGACAGCAAAATCAGAAAAAAGCCTTACTGTACAAGTGGACTTACTTCAATGTCACTCATCCATCCATAATAATTGGCAAAACCTGCTTGTTCTTCCAAATAAAATTGAATCCAATTATGAAACCCTGTCACATCGCCATTCTTTATCTCTCCAACAAGAACGTGCTCAAATCCTGAAGAATCCATGGGTCCACTTGACCTAGTGTACAACTCAAACCAAATCTTCCTCAACTCATCAATAAAGTCCAGTTCATTTGATGGTGCGAGACCTACGAGGAAAAAAACAACACTACTTTCTCAAATTTGTTTAACAATGCAATTGTAATGATGAATATTGATTATTGCATCACATTATAATCATTTGATGTGCAATGAGTTTTGAAAACATCAAAACAGTATGCACACAAAGGTTTCCGAGAATTGTATTGTTTCATCAAACAAATGCTAAGTTGTGTGCTACAATTACTTTGTTTTGTTCATGTAAAATAACAAAAGTATCTAACAATGATATTTCTGTCTGGTGTATGATTGAAATAGTTTAGTTACGTAATAACACAATTAATATTAAAACTATTGGATCTTTCATTGGACATACACCTGGTGTTAAGATGAAATGGAAGACGTGCTTAGCTACATTCTTATTTTGTGAAGCTGCACAAAATATTGCACCAATAGCTAAAACTATTATGGAATGAACTAAAATTATATTTTTGCATTAAAAAAAATTTAAAAAAAATGAAAATAACCGTAGGTGAGCTATGATGTTGTAAGTGTGAAAACCAGATATCTGAATCCTTCAGTGGATACTGTAAAATACTTTATTTTCACTTTCACTTGGAATTAATTTTCGCTGAAGGAATGATTCAGTGAAAATAAAATGAGCGAATATACCTTTTTTTCAGTGAAAATAAATTCCATACAAAACACTCAAAAGGACTTTTCAGCGAAAATTAAGTCCAGCTAAAATAAAGTATTCTACAGTATATTGCCACCCACTTGTTGGCACATTATGTCATGGCATATGCTCATTTCATTGAGTTATCCCCATACTCGATACTCATCAGCTTTCATGAATATTCA